TCCAGCTCAGTTATGTAGGGGTTTACCCAAAATTAGGGGTACCCTTTTTGGGGGTCCCTATAATAAGGATTATAGTATATCAGGGTCTATATTGGGGTCCCCCTATTTTGGGAAACTACTATGTAGGCTGTTGATTTCAGATACTGGAAGCGTGCACTTATTGAGCATGTAATGAATTACGTTTTCTGACGCCTTAATGAATTAAGTTTGCTGACGCCTGAGGATCCGCCATTTGGACAAGAGTTTAGGGACAGGTCAGGCATCATAGTTTAAGGTTCGTGATTTTGGGCTTGGGGTCGGGGAGATGATTGAAATCGAGGGGTTCCTGTCTGGGCTACAGTTGAGTAGAGGGAAGTTAATGACGGTTACTTGGCTGTTTTCGGGGCTTCCCTAAACCCTAAACCAGGGGGCCTGTGGTGCAGTGCTCACAGCTTTACATGTACTGGAGCTGGCGCATTTTCCTTGGCCGTCCCAGCATTTTCCCCCCTTGAGGGCTTCCAAACAAAACGGGGGCCCCACTATAAAGCCCAACATACTGCAGGCCTTATTATGGGGATTCATAAAAGGATTCCTAACTCACGGAAACCCCAATACTGATAAACAGCCACATGGTCACAGTTGGCGTTTTGTTTTCCATATGATTCTCAATTGTTGGGGACATATTTCATGCAAAAGGTTTTCCACACGCGGAAAATCAATTGGGCCAACTCCGTGGTCATTGAGTAGCTGGACCCCAAGCATCCCAGCTTGTGTGGGGAGGCGGTTTAAGGCTTCAAGATTAGGGCTTCGGGGTTCAGACTTTTTTTTTTTTTTTTTTTTNNGTTGCTGTTCAGGAGCCCAGCTTTACTTACCACAATCTCTAAATCCAAACTGTTTACTACACGCCCATGTTGTTGTAACTTCACTTAACTTCCTGAACAGCAACGTGTCTTTTGCATGTGTTTGTATGCTGAGGATGTATATCAAGGTTTGGGATTTTAGCTACGGGGGAATAACGCTAACGCTAGGCTTTGGCTACTGCCCCACAGAGTAACAGTCTAGTATAGTACTATTCAAGGCTCTACATATTGATTTTGTACTTCATTCTCGAACTGTCACTGAGTTGGTCGGTACACAAGCTAAACTAGCAGTTCTCAGATGTTCTCGGAACTTCCCCGAGTGAATATTGGATTCTCGGATCTTTGGATTCTGATTTTTTTTTGGGGTGGAATTTCCTAGCACATGCAATCGTATCCATGTTTACGGAAACTACTTGCATAACTCGAAGTACCCTATCTAGACATGTGTTCATAGCCCTTTAACATTTTAACAGCGCCAGGTCTCGGGTGACGTATCCCAGACGGCGTCGGCGAATTGTTAGCCTGAGCCGTGGGACAAGCTTGAAGCCACACTCTGGCACGGATGCCTCTTAATCATGAGCCCGGAAGGGATACTGTAAAGTCTTCTAAGCCCTAAGCCGCTCCAACCCTAAACCCAGGTAGATAGCCCTAAACCCTAAACCG